ATTCTAGCTTTTTTTTTTTTTTTTTTTTTTTTTTTACTTATCAATGTTCAACTCACTTGATACTTTTTCTGACACCTATCATCTTTTCCTTTCATCTCTCCTTCGTTTCTATTACGATTCTTCCAATTTTTTTATTTTTTTTTTTAATCGAAGCAATTAATTGATAAGTAAATAAAAGAAATATAATTTTTTTTTTTATATTATTCTAAGATGTGCAAAAGAAACATATTTTTCTAGCTTAGATGACAGTCATAATAATAGATCAACGTACGTAAACCTTACAGTCTCTTATCTCAACAAGTTAGCGTAGAGGAGATACGTTTTATCAACATTATTTTTCGTTACGTTGATGCATATGAGGTATTAAAATATTATCTGTATCTCTCCAGAATTTGAACGTAATATAATACTCATTAAATTTTATTCTATCGATGATTGTTGTCGAACATTCATCTTTTAAAAAATAATCTCACGAAACTGAACCGAACCATAAATTCTGAAACGATAGAGGATAGATAAAATTTTATGTGACGAAGTTTCGTTTGACCCTCCAGTTTGGGCTCCCAGATATCTACGTAGATCTGAAAACTTAACGTAGATTTAAGATACACTACGAATTTTTCTAGAATTTTTTAACATTTTAAATTTATCCGAAATAATTAAAACAAACGATAAAATATATTGTTATACTTAGTTGTACAAAAAATAATATACGTTCCATCTATATATTTTGCACTTGCACACTTTTCATTTTGAAGGAATCAGTAATATTTACAGAAACTGTTAGCTCACACGTATCAAAACAATGTTGAAATTTTTATTTCTCGAGGTAAAAAGTTTCCTTAGTTTTATTTCGTTTCGTATTTTTGAAAATCTTTCCACAATATACGTGGTAGGTAAACTGGAAACTTGGAAGCGTAGGAAATCTATTTCAGGTTCATTCTCGTTACGTGATTTGAACGTAACGTGGCCGAGAAGTGGCGGGGCACGCGGAACGATTTCGCCCAAGATTTACTACCTTCTATATTCACACGGCAGATGAACGTCTCTCTTGCCTCGTCTCCCAATTTGTCCTTAACTTATTTTTCCGTATCGCATTGTTGTAGGTATAATTTTAATATCCAATAACTTTAAAATGGGCGGGGGTTAAAATTTGTTTGTACAATTGCTTCTCGGATACATTTTTCAATCGAACGAGATATTATATTATCAATATAACGTGCTATCAAAAGTCTAAGAATTACACACTTTTGTCACCCGATCGATGGAAATTATACTTAATAACGATTAAGATTACTTTTAAGGATTATTTTTAACTTGTTATTAAAAGTGTTATCGATCGTCGGTAAATTTTTAAGTAATGATACATTTATAAAAGCGAAATACGCGATTTCGAATTTGTGAAAAGTATAAAATAACCAAAAAAAAAAAAAGAAAATCATTTATCACTATAACTTAGTAAATAGAAGAACATACGTGTATGCATGCTCTAATTAGCGTAACGAGTATAACGATAAGAATTTTTCTGATCGCCTTTATATAAGATGTATTATACTCTAGGAAAACTTGGTAACGTAACGTGAGCCTGATTTTATCGAACGATCAAATAATTTGACTGTTTGTTATCTTTAACAGGATTTATTAACGCGAATATAGGTTATGATATAGCGTTAACACACTCGCCGAAATTAGTTCCGCCGATACTTATTTCTTTTTGTTTCTCGATAAATATAGATAAGATTCGTTGGTTTTAACGATTTATCGGTATATATCACGTTTGCCCGTGATCGCAAACGATGTATTCTTGTCTCCATGGAGAATCTAACGAAACGAAGATACCATAGGCAGCCCGTTAATATTTTAGATGCATGCAAGTGGCAACGTCGTGCTACATAGTAAATGCTCGGCTTCGAGGAAAACTTAGCGGAAAACAGATTGAGAACCGCATAAAAAGAGCCGAGTACGAAGAAATACAAGAACAAAAGTAAACAAGGCGCGTCACGGTTTTCCTTGGAAAGGCAATTTTCAAAGTTTCGCGAAAACGAGTAGTGTCGCGTGAATGTGAGAAACTGGTAAGAAATTTCTGTATGCAAATTTCCGCCGCAATTAAAATAGGTCGGTTAAAAATTGTTACGTGGGTAGCCAATGATCTATCCAAGTAATCGATAAGCTTGATGATGCAGGTACGAAAACATTGCAATCTCGCGCGAGATTAGGTTATACAGATATTTTTAATTCTATGAAGCAAATAGTCGCCAACTTGTTGTTGCGGTAAAGATACAAGATTATCTGTCACAAGATTGTAATGGTGTTGCATCGAATTTAAAATTGATTTGTTTATGTAATATTTTGAAATTTACTGGATAATATTTTGAAATACTGGAAAGTTTTTAAATATGTGCTTATTATCTTCAGTTACAATCGAAAATCACGTGATACGTATACGAAAATTGTGATCACTTGTAACTAGAAATCATAAATTTCATGTTGTGAAATTAGATCTGTATACGTCTAATTTTTGTTATTTTGCTTTGAGTATAGGAAAAAGTAAATGTAAAAAATGTACATATCATCTTTAATATATATGATAAGTCAATATAATTACTTCAAAAAACTTACAGTGTAAACAAATTGTAATAACTTTTGTAATGTGTAAAAATAATACAAAGAAAGAGAATAGGAATTCATCAATTTTGTATTTGATCTTTGAAAAATTTTTTTTACAAACGTTAAAAATGCATAATTGTCCAAAGAAAGAATTATAAAATATAAAAATGTATTTTTAATTAAATTTTTCACTGAATAAAAATAACAATGGTTAAAAAAAAAAGATATATTATCGAAAATTTGGTCACACTTAGCGTACGAAGAATTTTTGAGCACGTGATTGAATTGTATTTCAACACGTAATGCGATCTTGCAATAGAAACAGAACCATTATTATATTCATCTGTTGCTAGTGGTGTCATACATAATTGCGCGTATCGATCGATTCGTGTACAGCTGTGTTAACGCAGTAAATGTAACCACACCCGCCTTAATAAATCGAATTGAAGGTCTTTTCCAAGAGCGTGCGCGCGCATGCATATACTTACATATCAAGTTAGAAATTCTAACGGAAGAATTTGTTGTTGTTAGCGTTTTTTTTTTTATCTGTTGCGTATCTAAGCGATCAAAAAAAGTGATATGATCAATTTTTTTAATATTGATTTTTTAATATCGTTCAAAATCTAAATGTATAATATTGAATAATTGAATAATAATAACTGTATGATTACAACATTATTTTTTTAGGTTAATTTAAGCAAAGACATATTTGTAATAATGCATATTCTTTGAAATCGAAATATTTTTTCACGTGTTATTAATCATCAGTCAGTGTATCATCAATAGTTACAAACGTACGATAAGTGTACAATGTGTCACTGGTAGAGCATGTTTCGTCGTGAATATGTTAAAGGTTATGTGACTTATTATGCGCTGTCTGAAGATTGATGATACGATTCGTGAAACGGGAACAGAATTCACTTTGTGAAAAACGATTGTTATGCGATCATAATACAAATAATATAATATCGAAATATGAAGTTTAATCTAATAATGGTTATTTTATAATTTCAGACTGCTCTTAGTATTTTCTTTCAAGAAGCTGCGATACCTCCGTGTGCACAAGGACCTGGTACACATTTTGGTCAAGTAAGTTGATTCGTTTTGTTTTTTTGACGGTCGTATAATATAGAAAAGAACCGGTTTATAAAAATAAGAAATATAGGACGTAACCATAATTTCATATGACGAAATAACGAAAAATATTCAACGTAGTTAAACTGTTTATTAAATCATTATATATATATATCAAATTCTATACAAGTTTTCTAAATTTTACATATAATATATTTTATTTATAAGTTTGACTGGTTATTTATAGCTAGAATTACAATAATTAAAATGATTAAATAAATATCTGAGTTTCGTTTTGTCGATAAATTCGTTTTTTAGAGAAATCTATGAAAAAAGTTCGATCGTTTCTATACTCTTGTATCGACATCTAATCGATACGAAACTATTTCCGCATCAGAAGCGTCGTCGTCGTCATTCGTCGTCGGGCATGGCGGCGGTATTCTGTCTTCTTTTCCCTTTCCATTGACTCTCTTTATTTATGTCACGTGCAACGATCCACGACACATCACGCGAATGATTTTATTCATTAGGTTCGTTGCGCGAATCGCGTCGAGATCACGCGCGAGAAATGAAATTTTTTCATTGTCTTTTGTTCATACGACATTGTTTCATTTCGTTTGCTTCGCGAATACTTGGAATTTATTCCTTTCTTTTCGTCCCGTGTTAGAAATTAGTATAGTTAATTTTTTTTTTTTTTTTTTACTATTCTATATGAAAAAATGAAATACATATCATTTATAAATAATCCAAGGATTTTGATCGATTTTTGTGATAATAATAGTCCGAGAATCTTATCGAAGTATACAAATACAAATAAATGTCTATAAGTAATATCTTCTTATGAAATTATAACAGATTACTAAGAATGTATATTTATTATGTTTCTTTTACTAAAAAAAAAAAAATTCGTCTTCGGATTAAAACAAAACTTTATTTTTATTTTTATTGTTTATATATATATATATATATTATTAATTGATTTACGGCTATTAATCAATGATTTCGTACACGATTTATACACGCCAATGATTTACTACATTTTTGTGCATCGTCACGTAACTTGAGGGGAAGTGCGCGTTCGAGTCATCGATTTGGCTTAAACTTTACTCACGTTCTACGTCCTGTACAATAATATGTTAAATTGGCAACTATAAATATCATTAAACATTTCGTAAAAATATTATGTTTCAGACACAAGAAATATAATTGAATTGAAAATGAATCGAGATGGAACGATAATATTTTGATAGAAAATAATTCAATTCTTGAAATTTTTTTTTTTTTGAATAAAATTTAAAAAAAAATATTACGACGTTAGATAGTTGTTATAACTAGTTATACTTGTTATTTTGAATTATTTGTACACTATGCAAATCGGACGGTTGGAAATGAAGTGAGAAATCAATAGCCATTAAATTTCATTCCGTCTGTCATTGAGTATTAAACTGTTCATTATCGTTGTTGTTTGATAAATGTTATTTCCGTCGATTTCACTTCTATTTTTAGTTGATATTTAAATATATATTAATAATCATTTCGTTTTTGATTAATTATATATTTTTTTTATCTCTGAATTTTTTTGTTTCAATTAATTTTTTACGATGATATTTTATATATTATCCAATACAAAATAATTTTTAATTTCTCATGCATTAATTATTATTATTATTATTATTATTATTATTATTATTATTCCCAAAAGAAATAATAATTAAATTTTGCAAATTGATCATTTTATATAAATCGTTTTGAAAAACTTTTCACAGACTTCTAACGTGGAATAACGGTAAACAAAATATTATCGTTCTTCGATTATGTAAATATACATGCGAGACATATATGACATCATAGATAAAACGCATAGATAAAATATTTTCATTTATCAAGAAACGATCAAGAAAATGAAAAATCATCATTATGATTTTATGTGCCTCATTCTAACTTCTTATGTAATCATATATATTTTACAATGCGAGCACACATGTATCACATGTGAGGTGAGATCATTTAATATATTTTAATAAATGCTTCCATCTCGCGATCTAAGTCGAACAGATTATCTTTCTTTCGAAATCCAACGAAAACGTGGAAGAGAAAATAAGAAAAAAAAAAAAAAAAGTAAATATATAAAATACTTTTACGTACCATGATTGATTGTAAAGAGGAGATTAGTAAGGTATCAAGCATGTATCAATATTTTCAGAGATGTTGTAATCATATATTTATGTATAATTTCGTAAATAATAATTTGTATTCTATTCCATATATCGTGAATTGTTTCCAATTAATTCATAACGCAAGCAGTCTATCTCTGTTTCTTTGAAATTATAAGGAAATTATTTTTTTGCCGAACATTTAACATTTTATATCTCGCGAATTATTTTCAATTAATATATCGTAATACGTATCATCATGCATACATGTCATAATAAATTGATTGATTTTATTTTTTATTGTTTTAATCTTTATTATATTAATTAATACATTTGTTTATCATATAGTTGATATTCACGTATATTAAATTTTTTTTTTTCTCAATCGGAAATACTGTTACGTAAAAAAATTACGCTTACGCGTAAAATTTGTTGATAATGTTCTAACATTTTGCAAATTATTAAATTCTAAAACAAAAAATAATAGTTATTAAAATTATTGAAAAATGTTTAAAAAGCATTTTAAATTTTAAATATTAGATTTTATAAATATTATAAAATTGTGATGATAAAAAAATATATTTGAAAATGATTTTTTTAAATATTCTGGTTAAAACTAATCGTTACATAATTATAATTTTTCTTGATTATCGATAAAAAAAACAATTAACGTAAACGAGGCAAATATTCTACTTAATGAAATCAGTGTCAAGTGTATTTCCAGGAAATACAACGTCATCATTACGCTCGTATTCTATACAAATGTATAGGATAAGCAAAAGGAACATCTACACTGTAGAATTACACGTACGAAAATAACCTTTACAGGATTTCGTTCTTTGCGGATCCGCAATGGTTGCCTGGTTACAAGCGACATGAATCATCAACGCATTATATTTGATAATATTCACTGGCGCGATTCATACGACTTTGTATAATTGTATGGAAAATAATAACAATGTTTTTGGCGGTATATTTTCATTTCTTCTGGCATACTCTCGTGCGCTAAGAATTCTTGGCGATCGTTTAGAAAGATTAGAAATTGTGCAGTTTTTTTCGCCGCTGACACTAGAAAATTACTGTGTATTAGACGAACACAATCGAAATTATTGATTTTTTTTTTTATAAAGATTATTTTGTTTACTTACAATTGTATAATTTACGTCAAGATAAAAATAATTTATCTATTTCTATTTATATTTATTATTTAACGTAATTACGAAAGTTTAATTCAATGGCAAATGAGGAATCGTATTAATTTCACAGTCTGTTGCTGTCATTTGCAGCATGGCAACCAAGTATTTGACTTAATTAAAAAACTCATAAAATTATGTGGCACGAACACGTTGATTCAGCAGAATGAGCTCTTCCTTGTTAACTTTTCTGTTTCCCCACAGATTAAAATTTCATTTTTCTTATGATTCATTGTAGAATCCTATCTTATAGGGATAATCAAAAATTTACCGAATCCTAATTTCCGAAACGAAATCGTGTTGAGGTTATGTTCCGACATGGGATACGAAAGTTATATTTCTTTCATTTTCCTCATTCGTTTTTATTATTAGTTTGTTTTTCTTCAATAATAATCGATAAAATGTTGAAAGTTTATCTAAACAAGAGGTTTCTAATAATGTTTTGAAGTCTATAAGTTCTCTGCAAGTATACAAACATAGATTATGAAACGGAAGAAAATATTAGGCGAAGTAACTTTTTTTCTGATAAAAGTTTCAATTAAAAAACACTTTTTTTTTTTTTTTACATTTATTTATAATTCTTATGTGTTATTTTAAAAAATATTTTAATACAAAAAATAATTTATTTTGAATTTAAATATTAGATAAAAATTTTTTTAATCTTTTACATATTTAGTGAGTTCAAAGTTCGCAGAATGTATTTCAAATGCAGTATCATATTTTCTTCACCAATTTCTAGAAAAAACTATAATATAAATATTTATTTAAATAATTTAAATATTAAATAACAATACATAATATTTACATGTATTTAATAAATAAATAAAAATATTTATAAAAGAATATAATGTTAGTACAAAATAAAGTAAAAAAAAATAATAGATTGATATAATAAGAATATTCATGAATCACATCATATTACTACATATTTATAATTTCTATAATTTCGATAAAAATTATATATTATAAAAGAATTCTCTACAATTGACAATAGAAAAATATTAATTAAATATTAAAATATTCTTTATCCATATCAAAACAAAATACATAAAATATAATCCAAATTTTATTAATTTTTATTATTGTATCAAATTATTTTCTGTATATTATCTACTATATATTTCATATTTTATCGATATTATCGATAAATCGTATTTATATATTTGTGTTAACTATAGCTTATCGATACTCGGCGCAACTACTCGTTTCTTACGATACGAGACATCGAGTTGTAACCATCGAGAGCGTTCTTCTTTTCACTGTGAACTTCACTAATAAATTTCAAAACGATATGAAAGGCAGAGAACCACTGTCAGCAGACAGTTGCTAGGTGTGTTACTATTCTCGGTCGGAGGCATTCCGATAAACTGTGTGCCAAATCTTGGCTCAACATTGGACGAACGACAATGTTCAAATCTGAGGGCAAAATCCTAGATTTCTCCGACCATTTTTACTTTACTTTCTTTTCCAATGTATATACATATGTTGTCGAAGTACACCGCTTCGGGAAGCCATTATGCGACCACTGAAGTCAGTTGTAAACATTGCATCATTGCACCATGAACGATTGATACACGTTCAAGTAATTAATTGGTAATGTTTCTGATTATTTTATTATATTTATATTAAATAAAGTGCTAAATAAAAATCGAAATGAATTTCACAATTATAAATACGTGTATATATTTGACTCGAGTAGTGACAAAATGTCGATTAATTGTATTAAATTTTTATTTCTTTACGTAATACATAATAATACACGAATACATGAACATAATGTTTTATAAATGTTTCATCATTTTACATTTTAGAGATAAGATTTTAGGATTTACTTTTCTTATCATTATGTCTTCTTATTATGTCAATTAGTTTAGTAATTCGTATCTATGCGTTTTCCACATTTTCAAATATGGTTAATAAATTTGAATTAAATTATTAAAAGTTTGAATTTGTGTCACGATATTAATATCGACAATATTTTTAAATATTTATCGTAATTAACGAAATTTACAGTACAATGTAATATTTTACATATCCATAATTACGTTTAACTTTTTAAAAGAAATTTACAAAATTAAATTTAAAAATTATAACAAAATTTTGACTTGCACTTTCTTATTTATATAATCGGTTAATCGACAGTGTAAGAGCACATGTGCATCTCATATTGTTGCTTTCTGTCCACCTGGTACGCTGACATCACATTCAGGAGCCAAAGGTTCAATGACCTTAACAACTGACGAGTAGTTCTTACTCACAGAAAGCTACTTTTGTTGTTCTCTTTTCACCCGCCTACCATAGATGTGTGTCGCTTCATTGCGGCTTACGTAAAACATTCGTTGGATATTTTTAGCTTTATAGACAAACCAATGTCTTGTTCCGTATTTCCGAGACACCAAGCAGGAAACAAGTGTAACTCTTTCCTGATAATTTCCTATCCATCGGGAAATACATAAATGTCTAGTCAAATGAATGAAATACGAAATACTTCATAAACACATATGTTATATAATGATCCATTGTAGAATTTGTTTAAGATAATTAATATTAGCAAAGGAATTAAATACTTTATATATATATATATATTGATTACAAGAATATTATATAATTGAAGTTAGAAATGTTCATAATTAATAGAAGGATATTATGTAATTGAAGTTAGAAATTTTCATAATAATAAATAGTAACAAACGATTGATAACATAACAAAATTGTTAAAAAAATTTGTAATTAAAAATATTTTCTTCTCCTATGAATGAATTTAAATAATCAAATATTGAAATTTCCTGTTTAATATAATCTTTTTATAAGTATACATTGTTTTCAAAACAACATAAATGTACACATAAATGAAGAAAATATTTATGTAAAATATTAATAGAAATGAATAAAACATTGACAACTGAGAAATGACAACTCGTGTAGGTGTTTTTTTTTGTAACAGTTTATAAATTGATATATAGCTCTTACGTAATGAAATATAAGCATACAAAATACTATTCTTAATCGATATGTTAAACCTGTATTCTCATAGGTTTTAAAGTCAAACATGAAAAGGAGGTTGATGTAAGTATCGATCTTCAAACGAAGAATCTATGTTTACGACTATATAGACATGCGTCCTAGTCTCGACCTAAATAATTATACGTGCAACATTCAGAAGTATAAACAAATATGGATGTTTAAGACGATCAAATCGATGATCGCAATTATTATAAAAGTATATTTCTTTTATAGATCACGCCATGTAATACACCGGCCACACCACCAAATTTCCCTGATGCACTTTTAGCGTTTTCCAAAATGTCTGCGGGCGACAAAACTCCTTCGGGTGAGTTTCAATTTAATATATTGTCAAATAAATATTTATTTAAAAAAATATTTTTTGATTAAAATAATATATTTTTCTCTAAATTTAATAAACGATTCATTTTCTTTAACTAGTGTTTTCCTCCCGCTAGCCAGAATTATCTCTATCCATCAACGTATTGCGTTAATGAATCCATAAGAATGTAAAGATACATTTTCACGTCGCAAATCTTTGTTATTCTATAATTACAACTCTTGTTTTTATGTCTAATTTATGCATATGTAAATTAAAAAACAAATTCGTTCTCGCAGGAATGTCGCCAAGTCAAAATGGATTGCATCAGAATTCGATGCAGATTGGGATGGCGCCACAACACCATGGAGGACGGTGTAGTGTAACCGGGAGTGCGCAACAGCAAACGCAGAGTCAACAATTGGGCCTAGGCGAACCACAGAGATAAAAGAAACTCGTGATTCGGCGGCCCGTGTGTAAGATCCCGAGGTCGCACGATGTGCATGTAAACGGTGTTTAAAACAGGAAGCATGGTTTATAAAAGATCGACTGGCTCCCCAGGATTATACGCTGTGTAACCACAAGAGCGATTATTAGCCGAGATTCACACGCTCGTATCTCCTTATCCCTAGAAAAAGGATGCAACGTTTTCTGAAAAAAATTGTGTGCACGGAGGAAAATTCAAATAATTATTTAGACGTGCGCCTAGAAGAAACGAGAGATCTCTCCCATAGAAAAGGGATCCTCATCTTTCATCGACTATAATACGGTGTATGTGAATTTATATAGAATAGCCGATAACGATCCTCTGTTGTTTATTCTTGTTATTCTTTGATATATGTTGTATATTGAAACACAAGACGATCGAGCCTGTTGAAACATCTCGCAAGAAAAAAAAAAAGCTCTTGTCTTCTTCCATTGGATTATTCTGAGTGATACACGTTAAAAAAAAAAAAAAAGAAAAAAAGAAAAAAAAAAAAAAAAAAGAGAAAGAACACAAGAAAGAAGGAAAGTTTAGTCAAGAGATTATTCTTCTCTCTCTCTCTCTCTCTCTCTCTCTCTCTCTCTCTTATACTTCTGGGACGGTAGTTCCTATGGTTATGAAAGACAGCGATACTCTCCTTAGCGTTTATGAAATTAGTATGCGTCCAGAATTGCCGCTTGTTGTAAATGAGTAGCGAGAAGCCTCCTCCACCGTCCCGGGTATCTTCCTTGTTGTTTCTCGATCTACAGAACTTGCGGCTAGATAGGAAACATTTGCGGTTCAATTGGACCGCTGAAGTCAATGAAAAAATCGAATATATCACTTCCACACCATAGTACAAAAAATTGCCGACACTGGATAGCATTTAGCGATGAATTTTTAGTTTTTTTTTTTTTTTCCTTTTTTTTTCTTCTTCTTCACAATCGAGGGACATAATCAATGTAATTTGATTTTAGTTAACCACGAGTTGAAAAATGTTTATCTTACTCGTATTTCTTGTCATCTGTTATTTTTGATGACAATCTTCTTGATGATGACTTGATCCAGTGATTTTGTGTATAAAATCTGATTTTGTCGGCACTGTTTTGTAATAATAATAATAATATTAATAATAATAATAATAATAATAATAATAATAATAATAATAATAATAAAGATATAAGTCTAATAAAAGGGGAAAAAAATTGTTCATGCTCAACGCGAAACGAGTAATGGATAAAAATACGAGGCTATTATAATGAATGCGAAATTACGAATTATTATGTAAAAAATTGTAAAAAGAAATTTACCGATTATGTAATGTCCACTAAGTATTTATGTAAAGTGATTCGAAGAACTTATACAACTATACATTTTTTAGAAATCATTCATACGGAGAAATCACTTGCTCAGATAGTATCCAGTGTAGGTCATTTTTTTTCTACGAGAGGAAAAAAGCAGTGGAGCCATATTAGCTGAGCTGTTTCATCGTCAATTCAATTTACGCATAGGAAAAGAAATAGAGATTTCGTACTTCTTCACATGTAAATGATTTAATCATAGATTTCGTATTACTCGCAGAAATTCTTATACAACAGCTTATTGTAATTTATCTAACCAGTATATAATAAAAACTGTTTTCCATTCATTCTTATACACATCGATGACGTACAACACTTGAAGCTTATTTTCATTTTCGATTCGACGATCTTTCTCAAACAAAATAATCTATTTATTTTCATGACACGTCTTATTATATTGATTCGTATCTAGTTTCAAACAAATGAAAGACATTTTATTAATTGTACAAGCATTATTGGAAACTTATAATGTATTAGAAAGTTGCAGATTTCATTGCAATTAATAAATAATAAAATCAATCTGGAAAGAAAAGAGACATTATGATCATTATAATCAATATCGAATTTTCAAAGATGGAATAGTTCAAGTTTTCGAGTTTCGCTGCAGCTTCATCACTGTGCATTCATTTATGTAAATACGATAGAAAGAAATGATGTTATATGAAAATTAAGTATGATGAAACGTTTTTCTGTAAGGTATACGCTTTAATGTCTTTTTTGTGTTTGTAACGTATAGATCAGTGTCCCGTGATATATTATAGTTTATATGTTATATTTTGTTTTTGTGACCTGATCATGAAATATGTATGATGTATTAAAATTTGTACTGGCGTGACATGATATTTTTAGAAAAATGTTATTCATATTAATTATATAGAAATTTTAGAACACTGATCTAAACAAATTATGAGAATACTATTATGTTAAAGCTATTATTATTATTATTGTTTATATTTGACTATCAATAGTAATAAATAATGTTTATGTACATAATTTTGAAAAAAAAAATGATTTAAATAAAACATTAATAATGGTGCTTTCATAGACTTTTATGTAATTTTATGTAATTCTTATTCATGTACGTGAGTATACCCTTTGTACTTCAGATTTGAAAAGAAACGATTCGCTTGTAAATTTCAGTATTAACATATATACATGTAATAAAATGATTAATAATGATGTAAATACAAGCGATGTGATTTGAATGTTTGCATTGCTACATAAATCACGACTTTAAATCTACGCAACTTTCTGTTATAACAAGAATGACTTTTTTTTTTTATCACATTACAAAATATCATAATGTCAATTAGTAATAATTTCATAAAATATTAATGTACAATTTCGTACCTCTATATGCAACACTGCTTGTTACGTTATTTATATCAGTGGTATAGAAATGAGTGATATATATACAATATATTTAGTACATAATATTTGTAAAAAAATTGAAAATCTCACTATTTAAAAGTCACATTTTTTTTTATGTTTCTACACCTCTTCCTAAACCAGACCATCTGTCTGGTACTGGTAAGAAATATCGGTGCATAGCAGCTATAAAACGAGCTCGATATTCTTCAGGTGATATTATTGTTGGCAATTTTCCCTGGCCACCTAATATACCTGATTTCTTCACCATTGTTTCTAACTTTTTATCCCAAGTAAACGTCCTTATATAATCTATAATTATATAATATATATAAATATCTTGCATCTAAAAATATAATTTTCTAAACTTACCTATTATGCCTAAAACGAGTTCATCCGAGTTTGGTTCCAAACCAACTAATAACGAATAATCCATTACGGAATTATCAGCCAGGAATTTAGTATCTTGTTCAATGGCTTTATTTAAAACTGCTTTGGAATGTGATCTAATATAGAGCGGTGAATCGCAACTCACTAGAAATATATCTTGTATTTAATTCAGAAAATTTTATATAAAAAATTATTAATAATTATATATAATACAATACTTACTGTTTAATAAATTTTCATCAAGTAATACAAGCTCTCCTTCGTGACACATATCATCGGGATTTACAAGCCGATTTCTTACCGATCCCTTTAAATCAAATTTATCCGTTATTGCTCTCTTGTAAAATAAATTTTCCATTACTAACACGCTAGTTCGAAGTGCTGCATTTGTTGTATTATTTTTGAAAGATACTCGATAAACACCGACTATCTTTCCCAACAATGTTGGTTGCTTAGTTTGTTGACATTTTTCCATATAAGAGAAATAATTTGGTGCAAATTCAATAAATATTTGCATTTCTAGTCTAGACATTTCTTTTATAATAAATCTGTCATCTGCAACAAAAAATGTGTTGACAAATGATATAAATGATACATTAGAATTTTGTATATACATAATTCATTACATGTATATAAACATATATTCATACAATTTGGTACCTCGAGTTTTACAAAAAGTACTTCCACTTTTACCACCTCTTGCAGCCCATTGCACACTCCGACTTAAACTTCTTGTAAAACCATCTTCTCCACATGGTAAAACATTTTCTCTAAAAGCAGCAAATTGCGCAGCAAAATATATTCTACAATAGAAATTTGTCGTTACATCATTAAATTGAACTTCAATGTAATTCTGTTGCTTTGTTATTTTCTTGTCTTCATCTATTTCTGTAGTCATTGATGGATTTTGTATGCAAGAATCCATATTTGAAATACTTTTATCAGAGTCTAAGGGGCTTGTAGGATTTGGACTATTTCCTCGGAAAAATGATAAAACAGACGGTCGCTTAAATTCTCCAGATTGCGTGACATCAGGAAAATTTTCTTTATTTTCGGGAAATTTACGTTTGTTTAAAGGACTGGGATTTAAATCCGGTCCTTTTACGGTACGCGTTAATTCATGAAGTGCATGTTTATAATCATGCGAATCTAATGCATATGCAATTATAGATGATGGCTCTGTTTCATATACTACTATAGGTACAACTGATCTGTAAAACAAAAAAATATTTTAGTATATTAATTAATTATGTATAATTATCTCTAATATATCATATACACAAAAATGTTATATTTCTAATATAATTAACAAACCCAAGAGGAAGTAAATGATGTTCCAAAGTTCCTAAAGGATTTGGTATTGGTTGGGTAACAGGAACAGAAGGCAATAATTGTGACAAAATAGTTTTTTTCTTTTTCTTCTTATCTGGCATATCATCAAAAGTGATAGGTAAAACGTCAGAATGTGATCTCTGATGCATTTTTGGAGAACCTTGGACAACAACAATGTCCTCGGGATTACTTTCTAAAACTTCATTGTCTGAATTTTCTATGCCTTCTGTCCCTTGTAAATCATTTTGCACAGCAGCAATGGCATCTATAGCATTATAATCTGCTGACATAGGACTTAAATCTTCTAATTGTGATTCTGATGCAGTATCTTCTGTTATATATCCATCTGTATCGATAATGCTATTACTTCCAGTGGTTAATGATCGTTCGGTAAATCGTCTTGGTCTTTCATCTTTCTTTTTAACAGACACTTCTAAAATTTTTGCATTCCAAGTATATACAACTTCTGATATCAATCGTTTAAGAATTACTATTCCATCTTCAATTCTAAACATCAGGGCTTGAACTTGTTTTTCAGATACTTTTCCTTCAAGTTTTTTATTTTCTAAAGTGGGAGATGTCAATTTTAATTGTATTTCTTCTATCTTGTTTTTGAAATATTGTTGATCTTTTGTTAATTGCTGTTTAGCAGCATTTAAAATATCCATATCTGTTTGTAATGTTGTTAATTTTTCTCGTATACAGGAGAAAACTTCATCTCCTTTTAATGCTAAACTTTTCATTTCTTCTATCACATCTGCATGCTGCTTTGGATCATACATGATATTTATTAAAGGGGGTGGTAGTGAAATTTCCCATTGCGATATTTTTGTATATTTAAACACAGCCAGCATATTTTTTTTTGTGAAATACTGATAATGATCATGATGAAGCGAGTGTTGACAAGTATCTGTACCACGTCTAGTATATGCATTTCCATGAAAGCGTAGTTCCAAGTACTTTGCAAAAGACAAAGACCAAGTATCATCAGACATTGGTACTACAGGTGAAACACTTTTACATTTCATACATTTGCTCCACATTAAAATTTGATTCGTATTTTCTTGAGAAAACGGTTCAGAGCTCATTTCACTTAAACTAATATGTATACATCCACCATCATGCGCGAATCGCCGAACATGATGAGCAATCTGTGCTCGACATGCTTGAGCAGGACATTTGTATTCAGATGTTAAACAATAACGTTCTAAAAAACGTCCAAGAGCGATATCATTCCTTCCGTATAAATCCATATTAACTACCCAAGGATTTACACAAAATGCTGGTGTATCATTATTACCAGTATGCGAAAAACTACAAAATAACACAGATAAACGTTG